ATCTAAAAATGATGCAGAAAAACTGGTCCATGCATTTGTCGTGTCTAGACTGGATTATTGCAATGGTTTATTAACTGGGTGTCCAAAAACCTCTTTAAAAAGTCTTCAGTTGATCCAAAATGCTGCTGCCAGTCTTAACTGGAGTTAGTGGGAGAGATCTCCAGTTTTAGCTTCTCTCCATTGGCTCCCTGTTATTCAGAATTGAATTCAAAATCTTACTTCTAACCTACAAAGCCCTCAACAACCTAGCTCCATCTTATATTACAGAACTTATTGTTCCATATTTTCCTAACAGAGCACTTTGCTCTCAGGCTGCAGGTTTACTCGCGGTTCCTAGAGTTTACAAAACCAGAATTGGAGGCAGATCTTTCAGTTATCAGGCTCCTCTCTTGTGGAACCAACTTCCAGTTTCTGTCCGTGAGGCTGACACATTGTCCAGTTTTAAGACTGGGATTAAGACTTTCCTTTTGGATAAATCCTATAGTTAGGGTCGGCTTGGGTTTCCTGAGCTGTCCCTTAGTTCTGCTGCTATAGGCTTAGACTGCTGGAGGACAAACTGACCACAGTTTTCACTCTGCTACTGTTTTTACTTACTCTGCTCAACCTGTTTTGTATTTGTAATTTTATTTTTATTTTTATCCTTGACGTGTTTTTGTCTTTCAGGTTCACCTGCACCTACATCTGGACCTGCCAGTCTGTGATCGTCTGTCTCTCCTTCCTGTCCTCTCAAACCAGCCGGTTAAAGCAGATGGCCGCTTGTCCTGAGCCTGGTTCTGCTGGAGGTTTCTTCCTTTTAAAAGGGAGTTTTTCCTTCCCACTGTTGCCACTGTGCTTGCTCAGGATGGGAGACTGCAACGAAGCCAAGATTCAACTTGTCTGCTGGATTCCTTAGATAGAGAACTTTACTAAATGGCTTTTATGTATGTGGATGTTTAAAAATAAATAAAATAAAACAGAACCGATGGCACTGATACATTTCTGCTTATTCACAGCAAGAATCTTTGTAATCCTCTGACCAAATCTCAGAAATCGTTGTGTATTTTTCTCCCTTTTTGCCTGAAAGAGCCAAATCAAACTAAAGTTGTGATGTGAAGACATCAGACGGAAGTGCACTGCTGCTCTTGAATGTCCTCTGTGAAAGACTTGCCATGAAACTCTTTTCTTTTGTTGTAGTTAAACGCAGTTATGTCTTTACAAACCCCTCCCTGCCCATCGCCCCTCCGCCCCAAGATGGTAAAGCAAACATAGAAGAAAAACGTAAAAGGAAATGAAGCAGACACAAGTCACAGACGATCACTTCGATTTTTCAGCATGAACTTAACAAACTCGTCCACAGAAAGTGAGGTAAGAGATATAAAAAGTCTTGATTATGTGAATCTGTTTTCATTGGATTCATTAGGCAGGCGCACTTTGTCCGTTTTAGAGACCAGATGTGGAACTATTAATGTGGAATTGATCGTTTCTGTAATAAATACATAGGGTATGGTGTTTTTGGGGGTTTTAGTTTGTGGTTCAATTTTCTTAAA